ACCAGGAGCAGTGAGTCCCCGAACCCAGACAGAAGTAAATGATGCGGAGACGAGGATGGAGCTTCCCTCCCTCCCCTCAGGCGGTGGATCTCTAAACCCATAGACCGACTAGTCCACTAAGGACACGAGGTGGGGGTGTGGGGGGTGGTACTCACAGGGTGTCTACGAAGGGATTCTGAAACGAACAAGAACGCAGCATTCTAAACTCAAGGAAAGGATTTATTAAAGGAAGCAAAACTAATTTCCAAGAGCATCTCCTTGTATTCTCAAGAAAATTTCCGAACATATATAGTCTATGAAGATGAGATAAGATAGTAAAATAAGCAGGAAAAAAGAAGCATCTGGCAAAGAGGCTTGAGATAGAAAATGCAAACCGAGTGAGATAAAGAAAAATAATTATAAATCTAAAAGTAAAACAGCAAAATTTATACTTGCATTAGAAACCATACAAAGCAACAATGGTTCTATAGAAACTGAATCAGCGACATGGAAAGCAAACCCGAGAAGTTCTTCCAAAGAAAGAGACCAAAATCAAGAGACAACGACAGAGATGGAAGACAGTGAACAGCACTCACACTGAGAGGCAGTGTCCCTGTAAAACTGTCCCAGGAAAGACCCACAGCTGTGGATCAAGTACCAGGTGAGATTAAAGTGAAAGGGTCTACACTGAGCTACCTTCTGATGAAAATGTTAAATGGCAAAGGTAAAGGAAGAAAGCGTCCGATAAGTACCGAAATGGGGGTAGAAAGATTACTACATTACAGAGAAGCAACCCAGGCTCGCCTCAGACTTCTCCTTCGAAGGCCAAGGGTCAGGCGTGGTGGTGGTCCCCTAAATCTATAAATGCGATTAAACTCCATACAACTCCTCCTGCTACTGAACATACACACACACGCACAATGATTACATATAAAAACTCGTGAAATCTGAGTAAGATGCGTTCTCTAGTTAATAGTACTGCACTGGTATCGATTTCTCGGTTTCTATATTATACTGTAGTTATAAATGTTATCTTTGAGGGAAGCTGGAGGAAGGATACACATCTTGTACTATCTTGGCAACTTCCTGTGAGTCTATAATTATTTTTTTAAAGACGAAAGATCTAAGATCGAGGTCTACTCAAGAGATTTGAAAGAAAAATAGAATTCCATTCCCCAATAAGTTGCTGTTTATAAATGAAAGCGACAGAAAGTCATTCTCAGTTATGAAAATAATGTGGGATGACAGATCCAAAGAGTTAAGACAAAATATAAAAAACTTTTCACAAATCAAAAAATTTTAAATGAGCAGTCATTCTCTAAAACTGGAGTCCCCAACTCCCGGGCTGTGGACTGGTACCGGTCCCTGGCCTGTTAGGAACAGGGCTGCACAGCAGGAGATGAGCAGCAGGCGAATGAAGCTTCATCTGTATTTGCAGCCACCCCCCAGCACCAGCATCACCCCCTCGGCTCCACCTCAGATCATCCGGCGTTAGATGCTCACAGGAGCACCAGTCGGTCCCTGGTGCCAAAAAGGTTGGGGACCACTGCTCTAAAATGTCTACCGATGAGCACTGAAACATTCAATTTAAATAACTGTTATGAATATAATTTTAAAACTAAAAGCAAATATCAGACATAATGTTTAAGAAATAATATATGTTCAAGAAAGTTACAAGATGAGAATAAATTAGGCCTAAAATCAAAATATAGTCCCCCCAAAACCTCTGGAAAACAGGGTAAGAAACTGGGAAGTGTCACTGCCTGCTAATTTCCTTATCTTACATATGCACTATTTTATTTTTTATGTTGATACTAAACTCACGTTTGAAAAAACTCTTACAGCTATCATTTAGCAGAATAAAAGAGAATTAGTATTTTTAAAATCTCGCAAGGAAAAAAAAAACAAAATCCAAAATGCAAGAGACCATAAAAAGAAACTCAAAACTATGTTTCAAAAAGTCTAATTGGAAAATAATGACTAGTTATGAAAATAAATACAAATAGCTTACACTTTAAAGACTCTAGATTGGCCAAAAGGAGGTCCCCCCTACCCTCATGCTTTGTCCATCTTTTATTTTTTTAATTAATTGTGTCTCTAAGTGATGCACCACAAGAATTTAACAAATAAAGGATAAAAAAAATGGGCAAAACATATTATGGAAACAGAAACGTGACAGTAGAGACGGCGCCGTCAATATCACACGGTAAGAGGGAATCTCTGTTGCAAGGTATTAACACCAATTATAAAGCAATCGTAACTAAAAAGAGTTTAGTAATGACATAATAAATGGATCAAATGAACAGAAACAGAACTTGATGCACAGTATATAAATGAACAAGGTTAAAATAAAGGTAGCTTTTTAAAATCAATGAGGAAAAGACTGTTTACAAATAAAAAAAAAAAACAGAACAATTGGTTTTTTTGAAGAAGTAATTCCTTGTCTTCTATACCAAAATAATCGGTTGAGTTAAGTGTAAAAATTAAACAAAAGATTGAGAAAAAATGCCAATGTATTTATCCCACCATAAATAGAACGCAGGGCAAACTACAAACTGAGGGAAAATATTTTTGACAAAATAAGAATCATTAAAAAAATGACAAACATCTCCACCCCTGTGGGCAAAAGACATGACTAGATCATTCACACACACACATACATCCCAAATTCAAACATTCATTAAACACATAAAAAGATACAATCAACACTAATAAAATAAATGTAGGTGCAAACAACTGTGTAACAACTTGGGGGGAGGATGTGAATTGGTACCTTTAACTATCATAATCCAAATTACACCTTTAAGTTTCTTTTAAATTTAAGTACCATGAGCCTTAAACTTGTTCATGGCTTTTTTTGAGAATTCACATACGGAAATGATAAAATATGTGTGCCAAGATTTCTGCCTCGAGTGCGGAGGATGAAAACAGCTGTCAGTTTGGCTAGCAGGGTGGCCCAGCTCTGCCACTTAGGAGACCAGCAATAAAATGATGTCAATAAAACCTTGTAGAAATTGTTAGGGATCCAAAGAGATACTCGTGGGTGTCTGGCCCGCGGTAGGGGTTCAGTAACCACTGGACAGCCTGTAGTCGAGTGTGTTTCAGAATTAAGACCTTTCTGGAGATTGAAAGGGAATCGTTTATTTACCCAACTAGGTCTGGGAGAGCACCTAGTAATCAGTTACATTACTATTCTTACAGTAAATATATGAATACTCATTCTAAGGGAGATAGTTATCGGTTCAAGTCAGGTTTTGCCGTCAAATGAGTTATGAAAAAACTTTGTTTTTAGAGCTTCCTGGACTTCAGATTTTCACAGGAGGGACTAAGATCCTGTATTTATAATAGGAGAACGTTAAAATCTCTCTAAATGTATGATAAGGGAGAGGTTACATAAGTTACGGTATAGTCAGAAGGTGGAAAACTGTATAGCTATAAAAATCACTTTTTCAAAGAATATTTAATAAAATGGGAAAGTGTTCATAAAACATTAGGTTCAAAAAGCAAGATAAAAATATGCATTATGAATTCAATTTTACAACAGTAAATTACACAGATGTTTATAATTCCAAAGTAAAACACTGCAAGGAACCATCCCGGGATGTTAAATTAGGCACAGCGACTTACTTTCTTTTTTAAACTTTTCTGTGTTTTCTAACCTACGATAACCATGAAAATGATCACTTTGTGAACCATTTATGGTTGATGTTCTGGTGCAGGACTAGGCGAGTTATCATCATAGAGGCTTAACGAGTCCATCTTTGCCCTCAAGGAACGAGTCTCATCTCAGGGGTGCTCCCTGCGGAACTCGATTCTCTCCGCATTAGACTGCCTGCCACTCTGTTAGTGATTCTCTCCTGGCACCTCAGGGCAACTTGACCCAGGGCTTTTTCACACCTCCACCACATGAGACACTGGCAACCTTGCAAGTACGTGGCAAAAATGGCATCAGTGGTGCAATTAGAACTCGCCCAGACCTTATCTAAAGAAGCTACAAAAAAAAAAAAAAAGTCAGGGATTGTTTAAATGTATTTGACTTTCACTCTTTTTTACTATATTCATCAAGTCTTAGTTAATAAATATTTGGGAAAACTTGACCCAGGGCTTTTTCACACCTCCACCACATGAGACACTGGCAACCTTGCAAGTACGTGGCAAAAATGGCTTCAGTGGTGCAATTAGAACTCGCCCAGACCTTATCTAAAAAAGCTACCAAAAAAAACCCCAAAAAAGTCAGGGACTGTTTAAATGTAGTTGACTTTCACTCTTTTTTACTATACTCATTAAATCTCAGTTAATAAATATTTGGGAAGGAGAAGGAAATCTCATTTGGGTTTGTTCCAGGTGCTTCTTAGGAGTAAAAGGATGAGAACTTGAATTTGACAGGCCCGGCAATGAAAACCCCAATCACTTTGTGGAGTAAATGGGATGCTAAGACAAATCACGACACTGGAAGGGCCCTTTGCAGGGGGCCAACCAGGAGTCCATCTCACCTAACAGATCACCCACCAACGTCTAAGGGGTGAGCCTTCGGCCAGGTCTTTGAAGAGCTCAGCCATACTCAGCCTGAGTGGTTCCCACGTCCAGGTGACAGAATCATTATGGGTCCCCTTGAGCCTCAATTCCAAACTTGGAACAAAAGGTAAATAAATAGTCAATCGGCTTAACACCTAATCACCTAAAAGGACCAGATGGGTTGCTACTTAATCATTTCTACATACATTCCAGGAGTATTTTTAAACTGTTGCTGAGGACAGCAGAAATCCTTGTGTAAAGCGTCTGCCACACATAAATCATAGCCCATGGTGACGTTAAATAACAAGTTAACACTCTTAGCTTAATCCCACAGAAAATTACTTGTTTGTAGGCAAATTATCCACTGGGGATACTTTCTTATTTGCTGAGTGCTAATCCGTCCCTCCTGCTCTCTGCCTCTCTCCCTGCTGCCAACCCAAACGGGAAGCACATGAAGTTAGATGCGCACAGGCCCCCGCAGTGAGAACCTTCACGAAAATACAGACCTCCAGGAAAAAGAGTCGACTCACCCTGTCCCAGCTGAAACACAGGCCCAGGCGATCCAGCTGTTTCCTCATGCATTTAATATTACTGCGAAACAAAAGAGAAAAAGTTTGGCTTTCAGAGCAGGGAAAAGCCAGACACGAACTACACTTGAGAATGTGAAGGGAAACTGGAAAAGTCTATTATTCCACAGGGCTTTTTATGTGTTGTTCTGCCCTCGCCAAAAAGAAGAAAAAAAAAAAAGTTCATCACTAAGAATTAACGAAAACGTCCCGATGTTAGAAGACATCTATTCTTTGGACTCAGACAGAAGTTACTAGAAATTACAATGGCATTGGGTCCTGGGGACAGGCCCCTTCTTCGTCCACTCAGAGAGGCAACTCCTTGGCACACACACTCCTGGCCCATCCACATCTGTATTCTGAACAGAGTTAAACCGAGCATGGACAAGTTCAAAATCCACTGGAAAAAAAAAAAATCTTAACATGCAAACTGTGGGACTCCAAATGAAAGTTGGTTCCGTGCTCTGTCGATCAGAACCTGAATTCTGAAACTGTCCAATAACCGAGAAAGAAGGAGAGAAGCGAATCAATCAACTTCAATACAAAGTGAGATAAGGAAATACATCATTTTCTCTTTTTGTTATGGAAAATGAACTAATTCATTTCTACTGCATCCTCTTTCAGTTCAAGCAGACTGAAAATATGAAAAGCCATGAAAAAAATTTTCTGCGTGATCTTTGATTAGCTAACAATAGCTGATTTTATTCCAGGCTTTATCCTGAGCATTTCTGCAGAAAAGTGCTTTTGATAGGCTGAACGCTGACGTCCCCTCAAGTTCCTATGTTAAACCCTAACCTCCAATGTGATGGTATTTGGAAGTGGCGTCTTTGGGATGTGACTAGGTCACGAGGGCAGAGCCCTGGTGATTGGGATTCGGGCCCTTTATTATAAGAGACCTCGAGAGCTCCGTGCCCCTCCCACCATGTAAGGACACAGACAGAAGGTGGCTGTAGATTTGCCCAGAAGCGGGTCCTCACCAGACACCGAATCTGCAGGTGCCTTGATTTTGGACTTCCCAGCCTCTAGAACTGTGAGAAATGAATTTGTTGTTTATAAGCCACCTGGACGATGGTATTTTTGTTACAGCAGCTGACTAAGATGATGCTTAATCTTTACCATTCCTACGAGGTAGGAACTGTGACTGTCCCTCTTTTACACATAAGTACACTGAGGCACAGAGACGTGAAGTCATTCACTCAGGTTGATCAGCCAGCAAGAAGGAAAGGCAGGGTTTGCACCTAGGTGGCCTGATTCGGGCACCATCTTCTTGACTGCTATTCTCCAGTACAGGGTTTGCAACCTTTTTTCTGTAAAAGGCCAGATGGTCATGTTTTCAGCTTTGTGAGCCATATGATCTCGGTGACAACTACTCAGTTCTGCCACTGTATACTGGAAGTAGCCATGGACAAGATGTAAACACATGAGTGTGACTGCGTTTCAACAAAACTTTATTTATAAAGTCAGCAAGGCCAAACCTGGCCCACCGGCTGTACATCTGCCAATCCCTGGTCTAGCTTCCGTCAAATTTATGCCCTATATGATCCATTTTATTTGATCATCGTTTCTCCCGGAGAACTGAATGGTGCAGTGGATGATTTTACAATGTAGCCTTGGTCAAGATAAAGCAAAGGAAGGTGAAGATGCACGGGGGACAGGCCCTGGAACCACACTCCTACATCTCAGAGGGGTGGGTGGGGTAGGGCCCCAGACCTCTGTGAGAAAAGCTGATGGGGTGGGCGCAGAACATGCTGCTGGGTCCTGCCCTCAAGACGCTGCCAGGAGGGAGAGCCATGGGCGCTGCTGGCCCACATGTACGCGGAAGCCTGAGGCCCAGCAGGATTGGGAGTGTGTCCCTTAGAGAAAGCTGTGCCCAGAGGAAACTGGCCATAGATTTTCCGTATCAGATACCTACGTTCTTCTTGCCTCAAAGTTCTAAAGGCAGAAAATTAACAGAATTTCAGAGAAAATTATTACGTGGAATTTGAATATAGCCAAGAAGATGAGAAGCACTGTAGAAAGTTAACAAATACAACCCTCTTCTCCTTCCCTTCCTTCCAAATGCAAATACTCAAAGGAAGAATAGCAAAGCTTCAATATGAACACATGAATAGCAAAGCTTCAAAACGAATACACGAATGAACACCCAAAATCCTCTTTGTGATTTCTTAGTAAAAGATAAACACCAATATATACGATCCTGTTTATCACTTGGCAGCCTACAATGTTCTGTTCGCTTTGCTTTCTATTTTTCATGCACAGAGTTTTAAAAATTGTTGTTACGGTTTCGGCGTGTAGGAGTTTGCATACGCCTGTAAGCATGTACCTTTGCGTCCAGCTTTCTGGATGCAGGTTCCTCTCAATCGCAGCGTTTTCGGCAGGCAGTCCAAAGGCGTCCCATCCCATGGGGTTGATGACCTAGAACCAGAAGAGAACATCAGGCATGGCATTTTGCTAAGTTTCATATCTGTATTCTCTTCCGGGCAATAAATAGGCATTTTTCTCCTACCAACACGCCTTATCCCTTTCTGGATGATTTCACATTATGCTTTGGAAAACCGGCTGGCTACCCATGACGGAAGTATACAAAGAAATTAGAAGGTTCTTCACCAAGGCGCCAACAGCAGTTATCTCTGAGTAGGTGTTTTCATGACTAATTTTTATTTTCTTCTTCTTTTCTGTATTTCTGTTCATTGTAATGAAACTGAACTGTTTTTCTGAAATTATAAAAAATTTCTATTTCAAAAATACGTACATATAAAAATCTATTGTCATTCAAAATGCTCATGTCACGTTAGTATTTTCCAATTAAGGAGCTGTGCTGTCCACTATGGTAACCACTAAGTCACATGTGGTTATATAAATTTAAATTAATTAAAATTAAAAATTCAGTTCCTCAGCCGCACTAGCCACCTTTCGAGTGTGCAACAGCCACTTTGAACCATTTCCTGTATTTCCACTCTCTGAAGAACAGGGAATCCT